ATTAGAACGAAGCGTGTGAAATAAAAAGACTAAAATCAACGTAACGAAAACAAAAAAAAAAAGTACGAGAAATTTGATCGAAACAAATCGGAAGAACTGTGTGTGAAGTGGGGGAAGGCAATCGGATTGAAACAAACAATAGAAAAATCGGTAATAAAAGGAGAAGAAGGTATCGTGTTTGACTCACCGTTAAAAAATAGAATAAACGCGTAAACTGCATAACCAAGAAGGTTACTGCCACTGTATTTCATTCTGCGTTTGTTATCTCATCATAATCGTAACCACTCAGAGCGGTGCAGCAACGAAGCGAGAGAGTATCGTTGGACGTTTCAAATGGTGTTTAGTTCCGATGGATTGCTGTTGTTGGTCCTCAACATTTTTCACGACACAATCCCAACTAACATTTTGTGCCAGAACACCTGTATCATAAGCGATTTATATAGGAGCAACAGTTATTTTGCACACACTTGCATATCTTAGAAACACTTCTTTTACTCACAAGTAGCCTTGTGCAGTATGCGTCCTCCCAAATAGGCACACCAACTTGCATCTACTTTGCACTGACTCCCGACACCCGGAATGATCGATTAGTAAACGGAGCAGCTATCGGTGTCGAGCACTGATATCGTAACTACCGCCATCTTTGAACCATCCGTTGAACTTTCTACAAGCAATACTGTTATTCTTCTGTCTGTCAGTCATCGCACCGTCCTTCGATTGTTTTATCTTACCCACTGCAATCAAATATTCTCTCGTTTATATAAGCATATCATCTATCGCTTTATCGTATTTGTAAATTCTCTTCCTCTTTCTTACTTTTTTAACCTTCTAATGCACGAATTCCATTATAAAATGAAATTGATTAAATGTTGTAATAAAAAATAGCGAAACGCGCGCGTATACAGGATGTCTCGAATTTAAACGGCCTGTATGTATATATGTATATACATAGATGATTAAACTCAAATCAACGATTAAACAATCAACATACATATATGTTACAAGCACATGTAATCATTAAGTAATTGAATCAGTTTTATTAATTGATTACATATATATTATACGATGTATCAATATATGAACATAAGATGTATCGAATGTATGTAATCTATTCATACTTTCAAAACAAAACAGATTCTTCTAACTTAACTTTTTTAACCTATAATATTACAACGGCCTTAAGTAAAATGTACAAAAATTTCAAGTAGTTTATACTCATTTTTCATAATTTGAAGAAACATCCCACATATAACAACAAGAAGAGAAGTGGAAAAAAATATCTTAATAGTTTGCATCTTCGAACAACATTTACAGATTGTAATTGCACGTCAGGTATGATCAATGTCTTATAAAAAAGAAAAGACAATTATTCGAAAATATTTATATATCGTTCACAATAAAATTACAAACAGGATGATTAACGAAATATTAAAAAGTATCGCTGCGAATTATGTTCATATTATATTATATCTATTATATTATATTGCATTGCAAACCTATTGTAAATAGATTATTATTCATAGGAAGAAACATGGAAAAAGACGATGACTCTCCCGAAGACGTTAAACGAGCCACTTCCGTCGAGCGTGAAATAAAAAAAGGAGAAAAAGATGATACTTTTGAAGGTTATCCGCGAATAGTGGAAAAAAAGAAAAGATGGGAACACTGTGATAAATCAGCCTTAAAGAAAACTAAGGCAAATCGAACTACAACTTTCAACATTAATTCGTTTTCTTCTTTCATTTTAGACAGCTTGTTTTTGTATAATAGAAAGAAGTCGTGTTAATTCTATACAAAATTGCCTCGAATTATAGATTAACCATTTTAATAAAAAGCACTTTTCAATTAAAGAAGATTAAACGAGAAAATGAAACTTATTATTAAGTCACATATAAAATACGTAAATTATATATGCATATATAATAATGATACACGTATAATGTTGCTGTTTCAAAGCAATTTAAATAATTCGTAACTATAATTTAATATCAATTGTATTTCATATTGTTCAATTAACATACTGAGATTATTTCATTTCCCTGCTGATTATTTTATTTCCTTGCTGTAAACAAATCCTTTAATTTATTAACTTATTGATTTGGTGTTTATTGATATTAATATATTGTAATTTCATCCAGTGAAATTTGTCCAGTAGCATATAGAGAAATCGAGCGACGACTGCTGCCAAAAACAAAGAGGAAAAAAGAAAAAGACCGCGAAATTCACAATGGTTTCAGTATTTGAAGAGGCCTGTACATTTCCAAAAATGGACATCATACCTAGACACTGTTTAACGAAACAAGATTATATTGATATGTTAGCCACTCCAAGGTGAATGTTTGAAATTTCTCAGCAATAGAAATTTCGACTGATATCTATCTTACAGAATTCCAAACGTAACGATAATATCTAATATTTTTATATAGTCGCAAATGTCCGCCAGAGTGTCAAAAAAAGATGGTACTTAGAAAATTGAAACCTGTATCACCGCGAATCAAAGAACTGGCTCAGCCGACGAGACAACGAATGTTAATAACTTTACAACAAGGCGCATCGATATTACCCCCAGCTCTTTTGGACAATCTAGTCCGAACCATAGAGAAAGAAACTTGCTTAACTCCTGAGTAACGTATCAATAGTTTATTAAACAGTCCTTCGCGTGAATAACTTCAGTTTTTCATTTATATTCTAGTTTCGTTTCGTTTTCCACTGAAACATACATAAATCGATCAAAAAGTAACTGAACTGGCTTTATAAAAATCTTATTAATTAAACAACTTAAATTCGATTCTCTTCGATAGATAGATAGTCTATTCCTAAGCCTTCGATTTCATGTTTAAAAATAAGAAGAAGTCATACAGGGGTAGAAATAGGTTCAGCAAAAACTTGATCTTCCTGATCAAGCGTCGAAAGATTAAGGACTTTCAGATATGTCAGGAATAAGTTGCTCCTAACATGATTAAAATTAATTAAAATATTCACAGCTCAATACTTGACAGATAGATATGCAAAAATATAGACTAGTACTTTGTAAAACTATCTATTTTTAGTATTTTTTGTTGAAATATCGATACAGTTTGCTTATTTTTTTGATTGCTATGTATTGAAGCATCGTCGAGCTCACGAATGTGCAATATCTTTTGCAGGCAGGCTGCGAAAATTTCACGCAAGAAAAAGGCTCGCGGAAAGAAAAGAAAAGGAGGAACAGACAAGTGGCAATATAAAGAGGCAAACAAATTAAAGAAACCGGGCGGTGGTATGACGCCTACAGGATCTTTCGACAAAGATTCAGTTTCTTGTCAATACCTTATGGCTGAGCGTTTTGTCCGAAGTATTTTAAAATGGAAATGTTCATATCCTAAGTCGGAATTCAACGATGTCGCGGAAGTGATAGTTCGACGTTTGGTAGATATTCTCGAATATAGCCCTCCGCAAGACGAAGACCGTAAGTCGCAACAAGTGCGCCATTTGGCCGATGTGATAGCTTGTTGGATAACCGAAGTGCTGACCGAGGTTGCGCAATATCAAGAGGAAAAACTCATGGAACAATGTAAAAAGAAAGAAGAAGAAATGAAAATAGACGAGGAGGAGGAGGAAGAGGAAGAGGAAGAGGAGGACGAGGACGAGGAAGATAAAGATAAAGATCTGAAGAGATATGAAGACGATGACGATCGTGAACCAGATTTAGACTGGGAAGAGGACAAAAAAACAATAGATAAAAAAATAAAAGAAAGAGAAGTTGTGTCGAAGCTTGAAAAAGAAGATGTAACACCTGAAATGGATGATAAAGTAGAAGAAAAAATCAAGCCTGAAATAGAACAACCAGAAGTAACAGAAATGGAATTACTGGTGGAAGTAGAGACAGAAACTCAAGTAGAATCAGAAGAACAAGTGGAGACGGAGATGCAAACGGAGCCAAAAGTCCAAGTTGAAGCGGAAGTAGAAACTCAATTAGATACAGAAACGGAAGTGGGAAAAGAAATAAAATTAGAACCAGAATCAGAACCAGAATTAGAATCAGAACCCAAATTCGAACCTGAACCAGAAGCAGCAGTAGAAATAAAACAAGAACCAAAACCAGAACCAGAAT